GTCAAACTGTCTTCATCTAAACAAACATCTGTCCATCCATCCATCATCCATCCATCATCCATCCATCATCTATCCATCCATCCATCCATCATCCATCCACCATCCATCCATTCATCATCCATCATCTATCCATCCATCCATCATCCATCCATCCATCCATCCACCATCCATCCATTCATCATCCATCATCTATCCATCCATCCATCATCTATCCATCCATCCATCCATCCATCCATCATCATCCATCCATCATCCATCCATTCATCATCCATCATCTATCCATCCATCCATCATCCATCCATCCATCCATCCACCATCCATCCATTCATCATCCATCATCTATCCATCCATCCATCATCTATCCATCCATCCATCCATCCATCCATCATCATCCATCCATCATCCATCCATTCATCATCCATCATCTATCCATCCATCCATCATCCATCCATCCATCCATCCATCCATTCTTGCTTCTCCTTTCAGGTGTGGCCTCTATCTCCAGTAGTCACTACAGTCCATCTGGGACACCTGGACAAGTCTCCAGACCTTATTAGGATCCTAACAAACACTCATCCTCTCACTCACACCTAGATATATTTTAGAGTTACCCGTGCATGTAACATGTATGTTACGTGCACGTAACATACATGTAACATACATGTTACATGCACGTAACATACATGTAACATGTAAAATGCATATTTTTGGTCTTTGGGAGGAAGCAGGACTAACTGGAGAAAACCCACATGTGCACAGGGAGAACATGTAAAGTCCACACAGGAGACAAACCTGTGATCTTCTGTCTGTGAGAYGACGGCTCTAATGATGATGTCACTGTTCCACCTGTAAAATAACTCCACCTCCTCAAATTGTTCTTGTTGGTTAAATTTCTGTTTTTCCTAAAACAGCATCAGTTAATAAAACACGTCCTTTAAGACAAAGTAGAGATGAAGGACCCTGATAACGCTTCATCCTCTGGAGAAAACTCAGCTTCASTTGAAATATAAGAGCTTTAATATTTTCAGATTTTATTTCATGCCCTGACATTACAAGATTGTTCACTCTACGTTTACTCTCACCGGTCATTTGTTGCTTCGTTTTAAAATAATTCGTCTGAAGGAGACGTGTTCTCACATCTGCTCTTCAACAGATTCAGCCAAGAAACAAAACAATAAAAATCACTTTAGATTAATGAGCAGACTTCATTAATCAGGTAACTGTAGCCACTTTTTAAACTTTCAGTTGGTGCAGTTTGTGTTGAGGTGCATTACACAGCTGTATGAGATGAAAGTTTAGTGCAGSTTTCTGAGAAATAAATCATCCGATGCGATCTTCCACCAGCCCCTGCAGTGGACAGATAAGGCTGCAGGCTGATGAGAGACCAGCAAATGTTTCCGTTGAGGTTTTCTGCACCTGCAAGAGCTGCTCCAACCCTCAGACGTGCACACGTGTTGTCCTCTTCATTACTAACACTTTAACTGTCACTTTAACATGGGTTTSATAGAACAGGCTTGATTTGATTGCTGTTATTTTGCTAACAATCCTGACTCTGACTCTTCTCTTTGACAGAGTTAATGTGTGAAATGACAGAATTTATTCTGATTTTTTTTATTATCACCAAAACTTCAAAACATTTCCCACAATAAAAATCATTTTTAATAATGACCATTTATATTTCTCTCATTACTCATATGGTAAACTTTAAAAAATATATATATATATATGCCCCTAATCTGATTTAAAATCTAAATGTTTGATATGATGTTTTTAACTTTTTTATTGCTTTTAATTTGTATGATGACAATCACCGTTTTTTCCATGAAAGGTTTTTAAAAGTAACAAACAACTAGAAAACTAATGAAATGGTTCATTTAATATCAGGAAACATTTAATCAATTGACCACAAGCCTACAACTCTTTGGTTCCCCCTCAAATAAATATTGAATAAAATTACTTTTCATTTCAGTCACATTTAAATAAAAAGTAAACAACTCAAAATATGTTATTATTGCATTAACACTCTTTTAAAAACTGTAAACATAATTTTTTTGAGGAATTCAATAAAGCATATGGGTGTTATAATCATTCGGTTTGCTTGTTTTTTTCTGTTGTCTTATAATAAATTAAATTAATTAAATAAATCAAGGCTGGAAACCGAAATTGGTCACAGGATGAAAGTAAAAAGTGTTAAGTCTAACAGGACTGAAAACTGAAACTGTTGATCAGTGAAGCCAAATGTCTATTTTATTTAAAATAGCCTGCTTGTTGTACATTATTTCAAATTTATTTAAGTTATTTTAAATGATCCTCTCAGTGCAGCTCACAGACAGAAGTATAAACAGATACTGTGTGTATCACAGCCTGAAGAAAGAAAATACATAAAGGGACATGCTGTCCAAATAATCTGCACTTTGTTGTATTAAATATTAAGACGAATGAATAAGATGAAATGCCAAATATAGATATCTTTTCCGAATTACTGTTTTAATGTCTAAATTTAATAAAAACCCGTGAATCATAAAATTACCATATTTTTGAATGGAGTTTGGCGACTGCTAATGCTTTAGCAGGCTAAGCTAACCGGGAAACTTGTACTGTCGATAAAAACAAAACAAACATAAAAAGTTTAGATGATAAATCGCTCGCACTCCAGCAGTTTATACCCCGGATATAAATATGTTTATAGACGTTTTCAGGATTAAATCAGCAAAATACTTTGCAAGGTTTCTGTTTAATTAAGGACTAAAAGTACCAGAATGCTCCGTTCAATTGACTTCCTTACACAACTCAAACGTCACTGTGACGCAGGGGATTATGGGAAATGTAGTTATATCAAACAAACATCGGTGAACTGTTTTCACAGAGTTGTTGTTAGTGATTAGTTATATGTATTGTATTTATTTTGAAGTAATTGTGTTACAACAGAGAGATAAACATGATCACTTCGGGAGGAGTGAGTGATTTTTAAAATGATTTACGGTACAGTTGAACTACATTTCCCACAATCCAACACCTTTACGTACAGACGTTTAGCAACGGTCAGTTGCTAAAAGGCATAAACAGCCGCTTCCGTGTTGTTCTGGAAAATAATAGTCGGGATCGGAGTGAAAGCGCTCCTGACAGCCTCTCTGAAGGAGAATATCATGGTTCTGTGAAGCTGAGGGACGTTTTCAGCTTTATCTGTCCCGAAATGTCGCTGCTGCAGAGCTCCAAGAAAAAAGACAAGCGCATTTTGTCTGGTACCTGCCCAGACCCGAAATGTCAGGCGAGGCTCTTCTTCCCCGCTTACGGCTCGGTTAGCATCGAGTGCACGGAGTGCGGCCAGCGCCACGAGCAGAGGAACCTGCTGAACGTCGAGGAGGTGACCGATCCGGATGTGGTGCTCCACAACCTGCTCAGGAACGCCCTGCTCGGCGTCACCGGGGCCCCGAAGAAGGGCACGGAGCTGGTGAAGGTGATGGGGCTGTCCAACTACCACTGCAAGCTGCTGTCCCCGGTGCTCACCAGGTACGGCATGGACAAACAGACGGGCAAGGCCAAACTGCTGAAAGACATGAACCAGGGGGACATCTTCGACTGCTCCCTCCTGGGGGACAGAGCCTTCCTGATAGAGCCGGACCACGTCAGCACCATGGGCTACGGCAAGGACCGGTCCGGGAGCCTCATCTACCTCCACGACACCCTGGAGGAGCTGAAGAAGGCCAACGGCAACAGGGAGTGTCTCATCCCGGTCCACGTGGACGGAGACGGACACTGCCTGGTCCACGCCGTGTCCAGAGCCCTGGTGGGACGGGAGCTGTTCTGGCACGCCTTGAGGGAGAACCTCAAGCAGAACTTTAAGCAGAACCTGAGCCGCTACCAAGCCCTGTTCCAGGATTTCGTGGACGCGGCGGAGTGGGAGGACATCATCAACGAGTGCGACCCCCTGTTCGTCCCGCCCGAGGGCGTGCCCCTGGGGCTGCGCAACATCCAYGTGTTCGGGCTGGCCAACGTCCTCCACCGGCCCATCATCCTGCTGGACTCCCTGAGCGGGATGAGGAGCTCCGGGGACTACTCRGCCACCTTCCTGCCCGGGCTGGTGCCGGAGGAGCAGTGCCGGGGCAAAGATGGGAAGCTCAACAAGCCCATCTGCATCGCCTGGAGCAGCTCGGGCAGGAACCACTACGTCCCACTGGTGGGGGTCAAAAACACGGCGCTGCCCAAGCTGCCGTCCCGCCTGCTGCCCAAGGCCTGGGGGGTCCCTCAGGAGCTCATCAAGAAGTACATCAGGCTGGAGGCGGACGGCGGCTGCGTGATCGGGGGCGACCGCAGCCTCCAGGACAAATACCTGATGCGGCTGGTCAACGCCATGGAGGAGGTGTTCATGGAGAAGCACAGCATCCACCCGTCCCTGGTGGCCGACGTGCACCAGTACGTCTACAGGAGGACCGGGGTCATCGGCGTCCAGCCCGAGGAGGTGACGGAGGCCGCCAAGAAGTCGGTGGTGGAGAACAGGCTGCACCGCTGCCTGATCTGCGGCGCCCTGTCCGAGCTGCACGTCCCGCCCGAGTGGCTGGTTCCAGGGGGGAAGCTCTACAGCCTGGCCAAGTCCACGCACGGCCAGCTGCGTCCCGACAAGAACTACAGCTTCCCCCTCAGCAGCGTGGTGTGCTCCTACGACCCCCACAGGGACCTCCTGCTCCCCGACTACAAGCTCAGCACCCTCAACACCTGCAACTGGTGCCACGGCACGTCGGTGCGCCACATCCGGGGCGACGGCTCCGTGGTCTACCTGGACGGGGACAGAACTAACACGCGCTCGCAGGGGGGCAAGTGCGGCTGCGGGTTCAAACACTACTGGGAGGGGAAGGAGTACGACAACCTGCCCGAGGCCTTCCCCATCACTCTGGAGTGGGGAGGCCGGGTGGTGCGGGAGACCGTGTACTGGTTCCAGTACGAGGCGGACCCGGTCCTGAACAGCAACGTGTACGACGTGGCCATGAAGCTGGTCACCAAGCACTTCCCCGGGGAGTTCGGCAGCGAGATCCTGGTGCAGAAAGTGGTGAACACCATCCTGCACCACACYGCCAAGAAGAACCCCGACGAGTACAACCCGGTTTCTATCGACGGGGCGCACGCCCGGCGTCTCGACGACGTCTCGGACRCTCAGCCCACGGCGGACCCCCAGCCGCCCACCAAGATCATCCTGACGGGCCAGAAGGCCAAGACGCTCCACAAGGAGGAGCTGACGATGAGCCGGGCGGAGCGCAGCGTCCAGCAGAGCATCAGTGAGCAGGCCCTGGTCGCCCAGAAGAGACGGACTGAGAAACTGAAGCAGGAGCAGAAAGGTCCGGGCCGGACCACTTCCCCCGGCGGGTCCCCGGAGACCTCCTCCTCCGCTCCGGCTACCCCMACCAAATCCTCCTCCCCCTCCTCTAAGGAGAAGAAGATCCGTGTGAGCACCAGCGACGGCAGGCAGGCCACGCTGACCCTGCAGGTCCACACCACCTTCTCCGAGCTGCAGAGGAGCGTCTGGGACCAGTTCCACGTGCCCCCCGCCCAGCAGTGCATCCGCCACGGCTTCCCGCCCCGAGAGCTGGCCCCGCCCAAGGACGGMGAGGAGAACGAGCCCGTGGTGCTGCAGCACGGTGACAGGGTGACGGTGGAGATCCTGAGGGGCCCCGAGGACAGAGACCACGGGACCTCCATAACCAGGGCCTCCAGCTCGCACTCCTCCCTGCACACGACGAAGAGCGAGGACCCYGTGACGTCCGGCAGGATGAGCAGCCGGGAGCTCCAGGAGAGCATCGACCTGGAGATGTCCTCCCTGTGTCTGCTGGCTACGCTGATGGGTAAGAACCAGCAGGTCTGAGGGGTCAGAACCAGCAGGTCTGAGGGGTCAGAACCAGCAGGTCTGAGGGGTCAGAACCAGCAGGTCTGAGGGGTCAGAACCAGC